TCATAGAAACACCTTAGTAGAAAATCGCTTCCTGTCTCGTAAATTGCGACCAAAGTCAAAAAAAATTGAATTTTTGGGCGTAAATTTCCGTGGGTCCCGTTTGTGTTACGGAAATTTACGTCCCGAAAAATTTCCTGATGTTGTGGTTATGTGCTTTGTGGTATTTAGACACGAATTGAGTATAAGTAAAAAAAGTAATCAGTTGCGGGATATGTGGATCAGATAACTGAGACTATATATTTGAACTTGGATATTATTCGTATACAAAAATATAATAGTTTTTAATCATGCCTAGTATTTGTTACAGTTGTAAGGAAATATCATCACTATTGTATACAGATTGTATTTTTACTCATTCCTTTATGGTAGTAGGGATGAGATTTTGTGGTGGACATAAGTTTAAGAAATCAGATACTATCACTCTTGAACTGGTGCCTTCTAATGTATATGATAAGAATACGATAAAAATTATGATAAATGGTATTCATAAAGCCTATGTGGTAAAGAATGAGAATGTAAGTATAGGGAATTTGATGAAACAATATTCAAATTATCGGATCACTGCTCATGGAAAAAAGAACTATAATCAATCAGTGTCTTTAAACCTCGAATATCCTTGGATGGTCTGTGGGAGATGCTGCGATATGCTGCAAGTATCGAGGAACTATGACTATAGTTATTGGTGAATCTATTTATTTGAACTTCATAATTATTTATATACGAAAAAATAATCTTAACATTTATAATGTATAAGTATCTTAGTGAAGTCTGATAATTCTAATCAAGAATACTTAACAATATAGGTCAATGATTTCATCGATGTCAGGTGAATCATCTTTTTTACTTTTCTGCATAATTGATAGTGCTTGAAAACGTGCAAACTCAAGACCAATTACCTTGTACTATGTATTTCAGAAATCTATTAATGCTTCACACTCTGATTTCAGATTATATTGAAATATATATTGTTCCAAAATTGTAATATCGGGTTTACATTTCTGTACCTGCATAATTAACCTGTACAACCCATTTCTATATTCTACATTGAGCTTAGATAATTTTGAAAGTAGATCTGATAACTTTAAATAAATAGAATTTGCAATTTTATCTAACGTATTAAGGTAGTCATTATGTCTCGTAGATGCGTCTGAAGGCCTAGTTATATCAGCTTTGCTAATACTGGAACATATTTTTTGAACGTGGGTAGTAGCATCTTTTCATAAATAGGAGATAATGGTTTCATCTTTTTTCAGAGTATCACATAAGTTCTTGATATAATTTTTAAGTCATTTTTTAGCCAATTTCTGCAACTCTACATCTTTGATATTTGCTATTTCATCTTCATCTAGATTCAGAGAGTCACTGCTTTACAATAAATCCTTAACATTTTTCGATTTCTTCTCCTTTAATTTCTTTTTACGATCCAAGACTTTTGCCAGAGATTTGGGTGATGGTTAGTATTTATCATCATAATTTATAAAACGGGCACAAAGAGCAAATAAACTCTCAGTATAATAATCAATATTTATTTTCTTATTAAATCTTTTTATCACATCTAAATATTCCATACAGTCTCCTTTTTTCTGTGATATTTTTTTTCGCAATTATTATAAATCTCTTTGAGTACTACTACAATGTAACTAAATCGTTCATCGGGTTTGGGAACTTTATATAAATACTCATTGACGGATAAACCCTTCTTTATAAGCTGTTGATTTTCTAATACCTCGTGACCATATCTAGCCTCCATCTGTAAAACAACTCGTTTTACAGAAATATTCTCCTGCTTACCCTCCTTTTTAGGTCTCCATATACATGTTTGAATAAATTCATCATAATTTAACTTGGAAAGTTTTTTTACATTTGCCCAAAGAACTTTTTCAACAATCTGATACATCGTTTCCTCATTATTTACTTTCAAAGTTCTATCCATAATCTCTTCATCTACATTACGGAAGAGCTTAAATTGATCTCTTTTCACAACATTCACCTCTCTAATGAAAAGTTTACCTGAATTAAAGTTTGACTTATCTTTATGCTCCAAGTCATAGTATTTTTTCTTTCCTGTAAATATCACGGGAAATAAGACCTCCTCATATGCCATATTAAGGTAAAGTGTTCCATTGTCCTTTTTCAGCTCAGTATTTATATCGTTACGGAAGTTCTTCATTACTCCTATAGAGATTTTTACCATTTCTCCCCAGTACTCTTCTCGTGAGAGTTGATCCAATTTATATTTTTGATCACATTCCTGAAAACACTCTCCTGGACATGTGAGGTATAAAGAATCGGTATCTCCATATTTGACATCGAACCCTTTATTCTCAACGAATTTTTTAACAAATTTAATATTACGCTGTTCAGCAGAAGTAACTCCACCCGCTAACTGAAGTTGATAGAATGGAGAGAGATTATTACTCGCTTCACCATAAAACTTATTCATATATAATTTTACTGCCTTTTGTTTTGAGTCTAAGCAACTATATTTGAAACTTTTCTCATCCAACTCATTAAGGCATTTTTTCATCTCCTTTTGTTTATTAAATAGGTTTTCTAACACCCTGGTATATAAACCCTTTTCTTCAGGTATATTATTGTGGCAAATAGACCAAGCTTCTATAGTTCGACCATTAAATGAAAACTCAATCTTGTGAAGGTTTCTTTCCACTACGTAGTGTATTTATCACCTCTCCACGAGATACTATAATCTTATCAGGTGAGAGGTTATAAGTTATCATAAGACTTGAATATAGGGAAGCAAAATCTAAGCCTGTTACTGGACGTTTGTTTTCGAGACCTTTTATCGGCGCAATAACATAAGCCCCTGGGTACTTACCAGATTCTGTGTTTTCTGAAGCAATTATACTACACAACACATTACTACTTCAAGCTTCAGCTCCCAAAAGATTACATACTTTCATACCCCCCGCAAAATAATGAGAATCAGAAAGAGAAACATACGCAATAGATGATACCTCCCGATAATCATTAATTACATTATGCTTAACCATGAGTTCTTGGCATCTCAATGTATCTATTATACAATAATTTGCCACTTCACGCATATTTTTTGCAGAAACATCAGAGGGCTGGAGTATTGCTTCTTCGTAATACTTATTCATAATATGAATGGGCATATCTGCTTTATTATCTAATCCACAGACATCTAGATAATATTTAAGTGAACTCGCCTCTGATTTTAGATATAATTTTTTGAAGTAAGCACGAACATCAATAGGTACATATCCTGGTATTTTAAGATACTTTGAGTAAAATTTCTCATCAGATATCTTTATCTCACTTTTTCGATATTTTCATTTTATAATTTTTTCAATGTTGGATGAGTCTGGTGACATGTGATTGAACATCCATTCAAGAATGCCTAAACTTTTAGCTTTTTCTATAA